TATATTGTAATCTTTTTTTTTTTTTTGTAGACATGCCTATCTGTAAGACCTTTGGCACTAATCATAAACCTGAATGCAGACATTTAGTTCTGGGAACTGTATCAATGTTGTCTGTTGGCACAGCCTGCTCTCTGTGGCACAGCAATTATGTTTTGTTCTGTGAGACAATATATTTCCAAAACCCTATACTTAAAGTGGGTGAAACCTGTCAGCCAGCATTTCACGCTCATGCCCTTATGCACATGAGTCCATACATGTCAGGTGTGTGTGTGTGTGTGTGCACTGGTTTGAGTGGTTTAAGGGGACACAAATTTGTGAGGTATTACAATGTGAATATGGTTTATGAGGACACTGCCTATGCCCCCATATTTCAAAAGGCTTAAAAACATACCAAATGTTTATTTATTTATTTATTTTTATCTAAAAATGCACAAAGCTTTCTGTGAGGGGTAAGTTTCTGTGTGTGTGTGTGTGTGTGTGTGTGTGTGTGTGTGTGTTGGAGAGATCAGTACAGTACACAGATTAGGCTGTTTGAAGTGCAGAGCAATAGGAAGAAGGTAACTGAAGCAGTGATAAAGAGAGGGGAAGGCTTTCAGGAGGTGCCGGGACATCAATTAACAGTTCCCCTCCAATGACACCATACATGACATTTCTACATACAGTAACTTATCCACAAACAAGCACCTCAAACATCACAGTATTGTTTAAAACTACTGCTTCTAGATTTTAGAAGATATTTCGGCATCCAAAAGGGGACACAAATTTGTGAGGTATTACAATGTGAATATGGTTTATGAGGACACTGCCTATGCCCTCATATTTCAAAAGGCTTAAAAACATACCAAATGTTTATTTATTTATTTATTTTTATCTAAAAATGCACAAAGCTTTCTGTGAGGGGTAAGTTTCTGTGTGTGTGTGTGTGTGTGTGTGTGTGTGTGTGTGTTGGAGAGATCAGTACAGTACACAGATTAGGCTGTTTGAAGTGCAGAGCAATAGGAAGAAGGTAACTGAAGCAGTGATAAAGAGAGGGGAAGGCTTTCAGGAGGTGCCGGGACATCAATTAACAGTTCCCCTCCAATGACACCATACATGACATTTCTACATACAGTAACTTATCCACAAACAAGCACCTCAAACATCACAGTATTGTTTAAAACTACTGCTTCTAGATTTTAGAAGATATTTCGGCATCCAAACTCATTTAAGTGATTAATGGCGAAAATAAAGTAGCCAGAGCTGCTTTACTGCATTACAGTGCTTTACAGTTCATTTGTATCTAATCATTTTAAGAAATGTCTTTGCAGAATAATAAGTTATTGTTATTATTATTAATAGTAAATTTAACAGATTTTCTTTTCATAAGTAATTCAGTTGTAATTAACAAGTGGTGGAAATAATGGTGCTGTAACTGTAAATTCTGCACAACTTAGATTTTACTGTAAACTTTAAACCCTAGGTTTAAATGTTTTAAATGCAATGTTTATCCTTCCCATATATCCTGAGAATATATTTTAGCAACCAAAGCAATTTATTTCAGCAATTTCATGCAAATGGAAATAAGAACATCATCCCTAGGCCAAATCTTTTTTTTTTTCTTCACAATAATTCTGTCATTTTTTTCTTGACAGATTTTTTTTTCTTACATTTTTTTGTGTATAATAATAGATGTATTATTTAAAGAATAATTTATTAATAATTATAGATTAAATCCTATTTTTACAGCTTTAATAGATTTTTTTTGTACAAGGAATTAAATCGTAATTAAAGAGTTGGAAAAACTGCACAACATTTCAAGTTGTAACTTCTGCAAAACTTGGATTTTACTTAAAATTTAAAACTGTAGTTTAAAAAAAAAAAAAAAAAAATGTTGGGGATTTTTTTTATCCTACACCCCAGGCCACTGCATTACTCATTCCTGGTTCAAGTCCAACATGTTTAAGGAGCCGATGCAAAGCCCAATTTTCCAGCCCAGAACCATCTTTTCTTGTCTTCTTTTGAACCTTGCAGAATTCTGCCAAAAGCGGACACTAACTTCAGTACCATCGCCCCGACGGTAGACAAGGGCTGTATGTTTCACGGCCTGCAGTTCATCTGCACATTTTCACCGCATATACCCAGAAGAAAACAATATGCTCTTACCCATATTGCTTTAGCGCTAGTGTTTGTTAGTCCAGCATCAACGTTAGTGGCAGCGTTGGGCAGGCAGGCATACCAGTAGTGGAAGGGGATCGGGTGTAAGTTTGAGAAATCTCCATATGTCCACATGGCAATAAAATGTCTGCCACTTTACTTATTGAGATTGTAATGAATGCCAGGTGCATATTCTGTTTTTTCAAGGCACTCCATTGACATGCAACTAAAAGAATGGTTAAAGAAATCTCGCTGTTAGACCAAAAACAGACTTTTCAGCTATTATAAAATACGCAGAATGCTTATTACCATTCATAGGGACAATAAAACAGAAAAAAAGTTCTAAATGAAATCTAGAATTCAAATAACATTTAAACTTTCAAAACAGTTCACATATAGCGACAAATAACCAAGCAATAAAAGTTTTGCAAAACAACACAGAACCTAAAGGCAATGAGCCAATCAGTCTATTAACTTGAATTTTCCATTCATGCAAAATAGACCCCAGAGTTTTAACTCGACCCCATATTTATGGCTTCACACACATACTTTTTTACTTTAACAAACATTCATATTAGAAGACTTCCTCAGTGTGCGGTTAATCCCTGTTCTCATGACCCAACCCTCTTTCAGATCACACATATGATTTCATTAAAACACAAGACTGCCTACACAATAAATCAAATCTCACTTGTGTCTTTATACAAAAGCAGCTCTATAAATAATAAATATATGACAGAAATGTGGAATTACAATTGATACGCTCTTGATTACACTTTGACTCACTTTTTTGTGCTTTTGTCGAAGTATTTAACTGAAATTTATGACGTCAGTATAACTCTGAAGACAAAACGATAATGGATATGGATGCAGCTATATAAACACAACATTGCGCCAAACTCCTGAAGCACTTGGCCTCTCAAGCAGTTAAAATATCTACATTTGATCTGAAATACTTTTGCTTTTATCGGCAATCAGCATTTAGCTAAAACTAAATTGAACATTTGGTGTGAATCAAGGCTCTTTACTGGGTCCTTTTATATTTAGCCTTTATTTATACCTCAAAACAATATTATCTTCTAATATTCTCATGAGAAATACATATTACACTGCAGTTACACTTAAACATGCTGCTACAGATTTCTAGATAATTTTCTATTTTAGCCATACACTTTTTATGTTTCAATGCATCGAGAGTATTAATCATAAATGTCACAAAATATTTAGCTAAACAGGGGAATAAAAGAAGTCCAGAAAGAGAAATTGAAACACCTTACCACACTCATTTAAAAAACAGCAATGTATTGCGAGAATTACATCAGAAAAGCTTTTTATTATTTTACATAGTGCATTGTCTCAGTTCCTCTCACGGACACACAGATATCGATACATGCCTTCATTATTAGCAGACTGAACGGCAGTGCGCCCCCGTACAGTTTTCTAATAAAAGACTAGACCACAAATTATGCGAACTGCTACAGGACAAATAACAGAACAAGATCATTCATTATCATTTCAGCATTACTCCATTGACTTAAGAGAAAGGATATAATCCCTCAATTCACTTTCAGCCAATATAAATGTATATACCTTCAATAGTCTGCATGTACAAATCTGCATGTACAATACTAAATATGTCTCCTTTATTGTGTCATTTTTGTTTAACATATTTTGTTCATGCAAAACTTTTTTTTCTGAAAGTTGGAAAAAATGTTTTCTTGTATTGTACACATACAAGCAGCTACTCTAAGTACAACTTACATTTATGAAATTGAGGCATGTGATTCAAAGTTGGTATTATCAAAGATAAATAAATAACATTTAAAAAAATAAATCAAGGGATGAGAAATGAATTTATAGTAATTTTAAGTATGAATTAACCTATTCAAAATGTATCAAATGCAATGCCAATGAACATAAACCCACAGTAACAAAGAAATTAAATAAACATTCAGCAGTAGTAGCAGAAGTAATAATAATAATAATAATAATAATAATAATTTAAAATGTTACCACTGCATTTTACAATTTAAAAAATGCAATAGGGTAACAATACTTTTAAGAAAGAGCCCATTTACTTTGGATACAGTTTATCTGTTTAAAAGAGGCCTCAAAATTGTTATCTACTACTTTTACCAGAAGTTCGAAAAGGCAGAGAGAAAAAGCGGTGGGATTTGAGTGTGTGAAAAAGAGCTGAAAATAATTTTGATGAGCAGGACCGCTTTCAAAAGTACAGCATATAACCACTTCATGTAAAACACATTTTAACAGTACTTTTAGTGTCATATCATCAATAATAACACGCCGAGAAAAATAATAATAATAAAAAAAAAGATCAGACAGGTCAACGTGGCACATCTGAAGCGTTTCGCCAAACCTGAATTTAACCTTAACCTTAAAGTCCGTAATTCAAATTCAGGAACTGTAGCCTAATGTTACTAATAATAAAAATATCACAGTGATTATTTACTGTAATATAGTTATGCATGTAAGTATTAAGCAATACAAATGAGCAAGTTTTACTTATAATGTGCAATAGCCTACTTTGTGATAAATCTCGCAATAAAGCTTATCTACGTATTTTTACAGTAGTAAAAGTGCAACTCTAATAATTATTACGTGCACATTGTAACATAAAATGTTTCCAAAACAGCATATACATTAGGTTTGTTCGTTTCCACGAGAGTTTGAAGACATGCAAGCACTCAAACCCGCAGAGCGGCGCTCGCACCCTGCCAACTGCGCCAGGTCGTCAGGGGGCGTGGCCAGCAGAATGACTGACAGCTGATTCTGAGCGAAAACTCCTCCCCGCACCGCCTTTCTCTCTCCCTCTTTCACTCTTTCTTTGATTTCAGAGTAGCCGATCTTCATTCCAGTGCACATGGAAAGGCAGAGAAGCAGGAACGGTCAGCGCTTGGAAGGTGAAACGCGCTCAGGGATTTTACGCGTAAAGCCGCTATAAGGTGCTTTTTTTACGGGACGCGCTTTATTATTGGACTACAACAGAATGCTATCTGAGGAGGAATGGACATTTAAACAACTGTTCTCCGTGTAGGGATTCCACTGTGCAACATCTATAAACGGACACACATGCTCACCACTGATGAAAAATTAGGATGAGTTTTAAAGCTCTTTCAGCGCCGCTTTAGATATATTTTTTTTTTTGCACATTGGATTACATAAACACGGCTGCAATTGCGGTTTATGGAAACAGCTGAGAAGAAGACAACTGAAGTTGGGGAAGAGGGTCTCTGAAGCTGGACTGAGGGTCTGAAGGATTGTACGTCTCTTCGCGGAACTCCACTTTCATGTCCGAAGTCTCTGGTTTATGACAATGGATTATTTGCTGTTTTTATGCGGCTTTTTGCTGCCTCTGTCCTCGGCTGTTGAAGGTAAGATTGCCAATTTTTTTCTTTCTTTTTTTTCTCGCAATGCTTATCAACCCAACCTAGAGTCTGGGAGGCAAGTCACGGGTCGATTGATGCGCGTCTACAGGAGTTGCGCCTCGGACTCCGTAAATAATAACCGGGATTTAAGGTTTTCGTTTTATGCGTTTTAATTAATGCAGTAAAACGCGTCCGGTCCGATGCTTTCTTGGGGAATTGATCTGGCCATTGAATGACACCAATTACACATGCGATTACACGGCAGAGCTTCTCCCTCCTAATTGTTGTTTATTTTCTTTCACCAAGACAATAGTTTCTGTCTTTCGTAAAGGAAATGTCTCTACAGGGAGCCCCACTTCAACAGTCTCTCTGTCAGACAAGACGCAAATCCAGGTCTCCTCAAAAGACGCATGGTGCGTTTTGAGCTTTTTATTTTTCTGAACAAATACAATGACGTTTGGGCAACCCATAAATTGACCAAAATTGAAATTTTATTAGCGTGTTTGTATCGGAGGTTGCTCTTATGCTGTGCATCAATTATGGCCCTTTTGGCGTACGTGTTCCTTTTAATCACAATTATGATTCGTTTATTTCCTAATGACTCAGATCGGTAGTTTAGCTTGGTTTTGATTCAATTGATTCTTCGAAGTCTGGACCCCCATTAGACTGGAGGACCTTTTGACACCAATAAAGATGAAAATGAGTGGGCGCTTAATAGATTTTCACGGAGAACAACAATGTCGATTTATTCATTTCTTTATTGGTATTTTTAACCATACAATTGGCGACAAGCATGAAATCGTGAACACTTGCTTATTGTACTGCTGCTCAGACTTGTCTATTGTGAGTCTACTAGTGAAATTCTTTAAAACAGCATTTATTATTTAATAAAACTCGTATGTTGATACTATTAATGTCGATATTGTCAGATATAACTACAGCCCCTTTAGCCACAGTTAATGTTTTTTTTTTCTTTTTTAAAGATGAAAAGGCTTGCCTTGCATTTTACTGCTCAATGTTGGATTAGTACTGTATTACTAACTAAATGATATATCGGTTCCCTTGTTTATTTGTATTTGAATGTTTTAATGAGTGAAGTGGACGGATGTTGAATGCGGGAAGTTATTTGGAGTTCATACGGGTTGTTTAGTTAAATGCATTTATTATTTTCCCCACCGCGGTGTATATTTCTATATTAGCGTTGTAAAAGTTACTGCTCAATGTTGGATTAGTACTGTATTACTAACTAAATGATATATCGGTTCCCTTGTTTATTTGTATTTGAATGTTTTAATGAGAGTGAAGTGGACGGATGTTGAATGCGGGAAGTTATTTGGAGTTCATACGGGTTGTTTAGTTAAATGCATTTATTATTTTCCCCACCGCGGTGTATATTTCTATATTAGCGTTGTAAAAGTTATTTAAATAAACTTCGCTACGTGATTTATAATTGTGTCCGATATCAGAACAAAATTAGTGGATGTTTATGTGAAAGGCACACGGGCCTCGATTACTAGCCTATATTGTCTGATATATTGCTCGTTTAGCTCGGAAATCAAGCAGAATATTAACTGCCGTTAATTGTTGTCAAGTATCATAATTATACTGTTTAATGAAAAGCATAATTTAAGTTGTACGTGATAACAATAACTTAATCAGCGATTCAGATGACTCAATATATTGTTTAGGGTTGACGGTACGACTCATCTTATGTGTCCGTTTGTACTAATAGATTGTACGAGTGTGTACGAATTTAATTTAGGCTGACAATATTCATGCCACATTCTTGGTCCCTGGAGATTTTCCCTCCGCAAGAGCCCACTGATTTATACAAAAAAGACGATCAAAGCTGTCCAACATGCTTTAAAATGTGATTTTTAATGAATTTCTGATTTCTCCTGTAGCCTATCTATAGAATTAGTTCCGCGTCACTCCCTGTTTGAATCTGAACTCGCACGCGTTTTAGTAGGCTTTCCAAGTCTCTCTTGTCCAATTAGTCAAAAGCCTGGTTTTAATTCCCACTACCCTACTGTACTTATTATTTAGCACATGAGTGCGTGATAAACTTATTTTGTCCTGTATACTAATTTAAGGCATACATCTCATTGGAGATGTGGTAAAACACAGGCCTTCGCGGTATTACGCGAGAAAGATGCAGACCATTTGACCTCAAATCAACGTGCAAAAATACTGACTTTACTCTTGTTTATCCCCCCCCCCCCCCACATACTCTGTATTTACAGTATTTAGTCGTTAAAAGCAAGCGTCCTTGAACATACAGGCTATGAACATTTTCTGCTTTTTCGGAGCGTATATCTGCCCTCTTCATGTCCCATTGAAGTGGTAATTCAAAGGTAAACGCAGTTAACGCAGATAGAGCCCTTACTGACGAAATAACCGACTCATTTTGGGGGTAAACAGCATTAACATGAGAAACAAGATAATAATTACAGGGCACATTCACTGCAGAAGAGCAGTAACGCGAGCTTGAAGAAAGGCCTGAACGCGCAGCGTAAGCAAAACATGTATTTGTATTTTTGGAAAAAATATTCAATTCACTCTCACATGTGAGGTTTTGGGAAGCTGACGTGTTATAGGCCAGGATGTGTCCATTTTATTTAAACCATTTTTGCATTGACTGACAATGTTTGCACTTTTCAGAACCATTTATCAAAGCGCAGGACAGGCCCGTTTAAAATGGAACTGCTGATGGCAAACAATAAATTATACAAAAACGTGAAAGAAATAGTGACAGTCACATCGCATGCGTTGTAGCCTACTTTACATTTAAAAACCATATACAATTTAGCCTAAAATCTTGTTTTTGATGTTTTTGACAAGTTACGCGTCAACTATTTATAGACTATGTACCGCTATTAGCTATTTTTTTCGCTGCTACTATTTTAATAGCCTGTAAATACTATAACAAAGTAATAATACTAATACGTATTATTATTAATAGCAGTATTAGTAGTAGTAGTAGTATGACCGCTGTTGAGCGCAACACCCGAATTCTGCAAATCAATGCGACTTCATCGATCTGTAAAATCTGCGATCAAAAGGTTTAAAAAGAGGTCAAAGCATTGATCTGTTCTTCACACCATACACACGGCCTACACTCCTCTGAGAGGCTCTTTTCTCAACTTATTAAATTACTGAAGAGCCGTTTTAAACTAAACATGAGCACAGTTCAGTCTAGTAAAGTAAACGAACAAAGTTATAGGTATTTTTTGTTTGCTAAACTGTGTTCACCTCTAATATAGCCTAAATAAGTTTTGAGTTTGTATAATATTTATTCATATATTGCATCTATCACTTGATCTAAAATATGTCAAATCAAATATATGCCTATACATTTTTTGACCTCACCTATCTACTGTATCCATAAATGTAACCAAATAGTCAAAATTGGAGAGGCCCAAATTTAAAAGTTTAAAAAAAAAACATTCTGATTATTGGGTGGGACGTGTTTCCCTGTTTTGATGGTGGGCCTGCATTTAATGTATGCACCACAGAACTTAAGTGTGCAGCCTTGTATTAATTCCCTTTGTGTAGTATATTTAATTGCTTATTCATTTATTTTCATAGATGTTCTATTTATGAAATGTTTTTATGTATTAGTCTTGAGCGAGAGCCATTGAAAGGTCATATGTTAAACAGAGGATAGGGTGAACAGATGTCCGCTGGCTTTGTTTCAGACTCTCATAAGGAGCTCAAAGGGGTCTCAGACTCAAGCTTAAAGATGCTATGAAAACCAGGCATAATCACGAGTGGCGTACTGTGGTGGTCCGTGTAGGCTCACACCGCTAGCCTATAAATATTAGCGCTGATAACCTTTAGAACGCAGGAATGCTTTGGCTGTAAAATCTGACGGCTTTCTGAGCCCAGCGTGGAACAATAGCGTGCGCTGAAGGCCAATATTTAACCAAGTGCTCTGTTAATTGATGAAGAAGTGGACTGGACGCTGACTGGAATGTAGAATTCGCTTCTTTTGGAGTGTCCACTCAAAAGGGCCATCCTGGCAGCTGACGCAAAGGCCTTTAGAGAAAAATAGGTCTTTGACACTCACAACAGTGTGAGGAGAGAATGTGTCTGGGCCCGAACACTGCCAAAATCCCCCCGGTGCTGTCTGCAGCTACTGAAGCGGAATGAGAGAGAGGAATTGAGAGCAAAAGAGAGGCCGAAAGAAAGAGGGATTGAGAGAAAAAGAGACATCGGAACTTGGTTTCTGTCTTCGGTTGGTCAGGAGCGAGATGGGTGGCGCTGGCAGGGAATAGATCTGCAACCAAAACGCCCATTGAAAAGGGGGGCGGCAGCGCAGAATACCCAAACAAAGTCACATGATGACAGGCACAATACATTTTTCTTTCCATCTGAATGGTTTTCCCTCTCCAACTCAGCCCCAGGGATTTTTAAAAGTTTTAAAATTTTGGAGTCGGACTGCTTGCGTGCATTGGTTCAGTGAATTTACAGTCAGAGCCAATTTGATTAGGAAAAAAAAAACAGCGGATAGTTTTTCCCTACCCATAAACTACTTTTTTTAATGCTTTTGAAATTTGTCACATCCGTACATCGTCTATGACTGTTATAAGATGTGTTTTATGGACACTTGAGGATCGTACCTCTGTAAAATCTAAAACTAGCAGCATTTTGTGACATTGTGGCTGTGCAAAATAATTTGCTTCAGTTTCAAACCACCAGATAAAAGCAGCTCCATCTTTCTGTATGCGTGTAGTATACAAAGAACCTAGAAGTAGCACACAATGTGAGCTCTGTCCATGCAGATGACATATGATCGGACACACACATGTAGTCTGCTATACTACTGAGAAATGACTTACGCATTTTTACAAGAATGCCATAGCCATTACTCTAGTTCGGCAAGCAGGAGTTTGGAAAAGCTTCCAGACTCTTTGCTGCAGTGTGTTTGATCCTTTGCTGGACAATGTTTATGAGCTTTAAACCAGTTCGGCCTGCTCTGCTTATAAAGTAGAAGAGATATTTGA